TGTGTGTGTGTGTGTTTGAGTGTAGGACATCTTACTTGCAATCTGGCCCAACAGGAGAGAGGCATCTGTATGTATGGTAGCAAAGTAACATGCAGTGGTTGTTCCGTTTCTCAAAGTCCTTTTCTGTAAAGCACAGGGATCATATTACAGGATTAAAACTACATTTCAAACATTTTTTTCTCTTTTCTTTACGTTGTTAAGCCACTTAAACGTTCACACCCTTCTCAAATCACACAGCTGTGTGACAATAGAGGGGACATCAAGTAAAACCCATCAAACATACTGGTAGTGTGTCACAGAGGGACAACCAGTGGCTGAATTTTAATGACCACTTATTTCACGAAGCTAGCAAACAAACTCACCACTACTTGGGTGTAGACTCTGTGGGCAAACCCTAAGTCCTTGAAGCGTGACTCAACAGGAAAGGTGTAGGTATTGAGCCACTGCAGTAAGGGCATGTCCAGGGCTGTGCCGGCGTAGCTGTACTGGGATGCATGGATGTGGGTGTCCACCATACCCGGCATGAAGAACTCACTGAAGCAAAACATGAAAATGGTTCAGACATACAGTACTGTTTTTATGGCCTATGCAAGATATGATGCATTGATGCATGTCATGTTTTAGATTCAAGGGGTTCAATAAATATAATTACTGATGCAGAAGAGTTTGTGTTCCCATCTGCAACTTCACCCAAACACAGTGACTCTCTGACTCAGTAAGGTCATGTAATTCAAAATGTTCATTCATTTCCATATTTGACTTACTGTTGTTCAAGTTGAGTAATTTCAGGCGGACTGAATCCAAAAGTCTGAGACAGTCTGTCAAACTCTGTGCCCTTCCCAATGAAGGCAATCTGATGGCAGAATAGAAATTAGAGTTATTGGAATAAAGTACAAAAAAATGTTTGCAAGGTGGGATGGCATAAAACATCTTAAAGCTACTGTGTAGGCTTTGGCTCACATTTAGCTTTTAAATCAACAATTTCTGTAATTAAAAAAAATATGCTTGCCATAGCTCTATGATTCACCTCCTTGATAACCTAGTTGTCCACATGCTGTATTCTTTCTCCGGATGGTTTAAGTACGTCGTATGAATTGTAATCACACGATGCATTTGAAGAGGATACTTCAGTCATTAAGGTTTTTGTGCATGAGAGCTTACTGTGGGCCAAATTGTTAAAGTTGCTCAGCAACGGCTCACTGTAGGAGACAATTACGTTATTGTGTAACAGATTTACGCTTTATCCATTTGGAAGACGTCTTTTTATACCAATGTGTCCCAAATGTAACGTTTTTGCGCAATGTTTAGGAGCAGATATAGATAATTATCAATTCATAAATAAACGCATATGTCGACGTATGAGCTCGCAGTTCTGTTTTCCAAACCATACATGGTGAAGTTTTTTTTAATCACTCCTAAATCCGACCAAAAACTGTTTCAGCTATTTCATAATCTGACAAACCTTTCCTTCTGTATCCACTCCCAGGAGCGCATCTTCCAGGATCTGCAGCGGTGCTTGCTGTGTCGAGTGGACAAATGTTCCCCTGTAGACGTGCCTAATGTCGGTAGTAGGTCTGTTAGAGTTCGCCATCCCTTCAATAGATCAGTCGGCGTCGAGCTGTGAGATACTTGCAGCAGCAACAGCGCACCGGGGTTTTGTCCTCGGAGACCTCTGATCACCAGGACGCACGAGGACGCACGACTCCACCTGACTGCGAAGACAATCTGCAGCCAATGAGCAGATAGGGTGTGTATGTGTGTGTTGTTATCTGGCCTATCGTCAAGTTGTTATGGTATAACTAGAAACTAGTCACATAGTCTCCCAAAGAATGAGTCACTCAGCTACAGAAGACGTTTTCAGTTTGGTTTTTCTTTTACAATTGATTCCACATGGCGATCGATATCAATCAGGTACAGCACTCACTCACTGTACGCGCCTTTGGACTGTGTCGGTTAATAATTCACCACAGTGACCAAACAGGCTAACATCTGGACAAATGTAGAAAAAAAACACGACACTTGATTGTCCAATTCTCCTGCGCAATTTTATATAGTGATACGTTGTTTGTGCAAAATATCCGTCTCCACGTCAGTTTTTATTTTTATTTTTTTAAAGAATGATGAGTGTATCCCTGAAATGAATGAACCTAACAGCTCAGTCTCTGCACTGGTGGGCAGAATCTCTCAATAATTAGGTCATCTGTCACTAATGCAAGTTTTTTGTTTTCCTCTCTCCTCATCATAAACATTGGTTGTTGTCATCTTGGAAGACAATACCTCAGTAGGGTATGACAATAAGATATATCACTGGTAAAGAGATAATGAATAGATCTAAGTTTGGATATCTATCTATCTATCTATCTATCTATCTATCTATCTATCTAGCTTCCACACTGGTTCCTGGTAAGCTGCAGAAGCTATATATGGATCCCTTGAAAGAGGACCTTCTGTACCATCTGTCTTTGAAGAGTGACAGCAGCAGATCTAAGTCCAAACATACAAGTGGGTGCACAAAATAATATGAACATTTCCTCTTGACTGTGAACTTGAATTCTTCTTCTAAAAATTTGGCCCGTCTGTCATGTGCCAGTCAGCAAATATACATCTTCATACCACTGTTGGGTAACTTTTTGTTCCTCTTTGTCAGTATATTTTACCCTTGTTTGGTAGCCTATACTTTGCCACAGTGTTTGAGACGTTTCCTCATATTAAACATGTTTCCACAGCATTTTATATTTCAACTTAATTATGAACAAAGTTATTACGGAAATAAAGAGATAAAATCTAGTTAATATATTGGTAATAACAGTTCAAATGTTTTGCTAATGTTAAGTTAAAATTTTGGTAGTGTAGTAATAGTGTGGTAAGAACAGGCCAATTTATAGTATGATGAGGGTAATAAAAAGGGGATATTGTAGCTTTAATACCCCCACAGGCACAATTGACATTTATCTTGCCTTACCATGTCAAACATTCCTTCTTTCTGGATAGAACATTTTTGTTTTCTTTCTTTAACATGGTGATTTACCAGGGAACAGAGAGCAGTTTCTCTGCGAATCACAGCTGGTGAATGAGAAACCACTTTTCTCCCCTTCATTTCACTTTTTATATTGTCTTTGACCACTTTCTGATTCATGTTTAAGGGGTTCATAATTTTCCGAAACGCATATATGTATGTTCAACCAAGTACTCAATGCGTAGCTCACACACCCCACAGTGAGAAGTATAATGAAGATGAATGACAGATGATGCCCATTATGGCAGATAACACCACCCAGACAGGGTGCTGAACAATATACAGTAACATATGGCAAAATGTGCAGATCTGCAAGGTGTGGAGTGCAGTACAATGAGTATGGATAAAATATTAGAAACACCAGCATTGCAACTTGGCAGCACCAGAAAAACTGAACATCACAACCCTCATGGATTTATTACAGGGCTGTTGTATTAGACTGCATTAGTTGTAACTTGCAACTGAGTGATATACAATATGATGTCACTTAATATGGCAAACATAAACAGCGCTGGGTTTCGTTATTACTGCGTTAGTCTAGACTGAAGGTTTAACAGCAGTTACTCAGATAGTTCAGTATCCATAGTTACGACAGAACTTTAAGTCACGAGTGTATAAGCAGAACAAAGCCATGTGAGAAATATATTAAGCACTATAGGGAATCCTATGAGCTCAGTGATTCCATCCATGTCATAGCATCCCATACTTTCTAACAAGGAAGTAAAGTATGAAATATTGCCACATTCTTTTAAATTTATCAGCCTCACATGATGAATGAAAACACACGCTCTCTTGGTGACATCAACTTTTCAGTGTAACTGCAGGTTACTCGAGGAAGGGAAATGTGAAAGGCAGCTAAAAATAATTTAAAAAATGAGAACATGACTGCTTTAGCATCCTACAGAAAAAAAAACTTGTTGCAGCCTTTCTTGGAAAGTTTTAATTATTTTTGACAGATTCTAGTGAAAGTTGAAAAGTTGGAGCAGTTTTTATTGATCTTTTAAAGTTTTGGATGTCAACAGCACCACCATCAGAACTGTCCCTATGTGGTATACAATAGTATGTTGAGTATATTGTGTGGAAAAAATTGCAGCAACAAAGTGTGTGCATTTAAAGGTGATCTATACTTTATTTAAACTTTAAAGTTTAAATGAAAAGGAACGGTGATGGGCAAACCCCATTTTAAAATGTGCAGATTGCACATTTATAAATCATTTTAAAGGAAAGCAATTATATATTTTTTATTTATTTTTTACTCTAGAGGGGAAGATAAAAGTCTACGTGCTAGACAAGGCCAAAACAGAGTGAATAATTTGAATACGGCTCAGCCTTCCAAAAAAGGAGAAGCTACAGTGTCCTATCTAGAACCAGTGCTACTGTAGAAACATGGCAGTTCAACATGGCAGCTTTTGAAGGAGAGGACCAGCTCGCTCTTTAGATAAAAGCAGAGGCCAAAATATTAGAAACACTTCTCTTTATAACACAATTCAACAGAATCCTAAACTACAGCCTCCAAAAGTATCAAAAGTTAAATAAACACCTCTCAACAATAAAAACCGATCACAACCTCTGTAAATGTAGGATTTATTGCAGGACTGTGCTATTAGACTGCATTAGTTATAGCTGGGCATATGCATGACGGTTAACATTTCAGTCAGTTCCTGATACCCTGCCAACGCCTCTACTTCTGCTTTTAGTGCTGCTGATACTTCAAGGCCACTATTAGGTTATTGTGAAATAAACACAGCAACCATTTTGACATGAATTAGTAGGGTAAACACAGGGATTGTTAATTATACTATTTAAGGTCCCATTCCATTCAGGTCAAGCAGAGTCATGAAACGAAACAAAATATGGAGATACAGGGTTTCCAGTACATTGTACAGCCCATTCACCTTCATTCATGGTATATAAGGCCCTTTAAATAAAAAATGAAATGTCATCAAAAATATTCCTGAATCATCAGGTAGCTTTTGTCTTCTCAACTTCTTCATACTGTACTTGATTGGAAAACTTGTTTTGTATGTATGTGAAGTTAAAAAAAAGCCCACAAGAACCCTGTAACTGTCTTTAGTCTTTAAAGCTGACTCGGGAAACATCTGGGAGGACATCGGACTTGTCCTGTGTCTTCTTTGGTTCTGAATCCTCTCCCGTATCATCATCACTATCTCTGAGGTCATTTAAGTCATCATCATCATCATCATAATCATCATCATCATCATCATCACTGTCCAAGCCATCCATGTCCTTCTTCCCTCGTCCACGTCCTTTCTTTTTCTGTTCACCATCTTCTTCTTGCTCTTTATCGTCCACCTCTGAGTTTACTCTACACCGTGAGAGAAAAACAAAATGAGGCTATGCTATGTTTATTGTCCTCTTAAAAGGGAACAATCCCTCAGACTTTTTTTAATGTCACAATGTAAACAAACAAATATGTGAAATGTGTATGGGAATAAATGGATGACAAGATTTTTAATGAAAACAGTTTGACAGCATCTTCATGTAATGCCTTTCACAGAATGAGTTCAGCGATTTCTAAGAAACAGTTGTAATGTGTCTCATTGTCCACAAGATGGCAGACTTGCAGCAGGATTTACTGTATGTGATTAACAGTGATGAAAAATACAAAGATTGACTTCATAAAAAGATTTTATCCTGCTTCCAAGTACAGAAAACATGCACCACATTTCTTACAGTCATTTAATTCATATACGATGAGAGGACACGTGATATTAATGGCTTCTTTATGAGTCACTGATGGTAAAGTGGGCAAGAAAAATGAAACATGAAATTGGCTACATTAAATAGGGATAGATTTTCTCAATAGTATTTTATGTATTATGTATGTATGAATCTGCACACACAAACACTCTTAATAAATAATAAAGGATCACTCACGGAATAACGATATCTTCTTTCTTCCCACACTTGCAGCAGATCTCTAGCTGAAGGGAACATGGCTTACAAATGATGTGATACGCATCCTTCACAGTCTTCTGAGAACACTTGACGCTGAAAGAAGCAAACAAACATACACAAATGTCATCGGTTTTCACACTGCGGTCCTCTCGTCTTTTGTTCCCTCCCCAAAATTAAAACATGAATGACACATCCAAAACACAACACTTTACAACGCATACAAGACTGTGCGAGTCTGACTCATGCAAGCAGGACATAGCTGGACATATGCAGGACGGCAACAACAAAACAAAATGTCCCAGTGTCCCTTGCATTGTACTTGCCACCTGGTTTGCTACAAGCATGTATGTGTAAGTGTGGTTTAGATTTCCAGTGGCTCCTTTTATCTGGGATTCCCCTCCAGACATATATTAAAACAATAATCTGCTTGGAACAATAATTTAAAATTCAAAAATATATGAATATGATCATTTTGTTCATTTGTTAAGTTTTCCAGCTGGACACAAGATGTCTCCTATTTCACACATCACATTCTCAGTGTATGAGCACTGGTGGCTTAACGCTTCTACATCACACTTAAACTTAAGTCGCATACTGGACCAGGATTGACTTCAAAATGATTTGTGATGTCAATGTGATTTTCAATGAAATGGTGAATCTGAATACATCCTTCTGTCGGCACTCTGCACATACATCATTCTGCACTGTGAAGCTCAAACATCACACGGTAGAACAAGAAGAAAAACAGTTTCGAGTGGAGGGAGGACATTAACATTTCTGATGTAGCCTGACCAGAAGCCAAAAATCCCTCCATAATGATTTTATAACAGTATAATGGGGAAATTAAGCAATTCTTAGTGTGTTTCTGTTCATAAATGAGTACACAGATGATCTAACTGATAAGTATAATCATAATCCATGTTGATTATCTTGTTTGTGCAACAATTACATGCTTGTTTACTGTTGACAGATCAGATGAGATGTGAGCAGTCATGAGCAGTTGTAGCAGTGCTGATAGTGTACTCACCATTTTCGAGGCTGTGTAAGTGACTTGTATTTGTTGTACTTCACTTTCCACTCAAGAACACCCTTACAGTGTTGACAGAGCCCATCGTGGGTCTTTGATTTAGCTTTCTACAATAAAGCAAACACATGGTGGAAATGTTCAAATAATAATGTCAGAACATTGCTTTGACAAACCAGCAGAGAAAAAGACAGGATTTATAGCACATGCATCATTACTGACAACAATGACAGAAGATTTCTTAAACAAACAATCAAAATATTTTATTTTTATAGACAATTTCTAAACAATACTACAACAATGTCATTTCAGCTACTGGCAGACAAAAATAAGCCTATTGTGAACTCTACAACAATGTGAATGCAAACGTTTAAAGTGCCTTTAGTTGAGCTCAGTACCATGCAGGGTACACATCACCTATCACTCCGAGGTTCACACACCTTCACTTGTACAGTCGCTCCGTACTTGTCGTTTTTGAACGCAGCGCTGTTCTGATGCTTCTGGGCTCTGGACCGAGACACGTTGCCTTTCTGAGAACTCATCTTCTTTTCCACTTGTTTTTTACTTACACATGTTGAGAGGGCACACAAATCCAAACACCACGCCGGAGAGAGCGAGAGAGAGCCCTAACCCGGAAGAAGTACGAGCACGTCATGAAACGTCATTGAGGTCAAAACCAGATTTTTTTTAAAGTGTTTAAAATAAACGAAGACAGTAAGCTGTTTGTTAGAATAAAACGAATTTCCAAACAAGCACGATTTAAAAAAAATAAATACGCTTAATAAAATAGTTAAACGCCAATGACGTCACCTGACTGACCGTTTGAAACCCCTTTCTCGGTGCTGATTGGTCGGTGCCGCGCAATAGTAATCTCTGGTTGGTTCTCCAAAACGTCAATCAAAACATTCGCTCATCACGCTGCGGCGTCGCCAGGGACCGCCCACAATTAGCCACGCGCTGTGCCATTGGTGGGCACGGCTTCCTCAACCTCTTTGCTATTGGTCCGCACAGCTGTCAATCACGACCTATCCTTCCCTGGGAGATAACAGGCGGAGTGAAATTCACAACGAAGGCGGTGATGTTTCGGAGCCAAGTGATACTGCCGCGAACTGTCTGACAAATCACCGCGGACGCGTGACACGAATTTAGTTGATTTCAGACCTTTATTGGAGTCACCCATGTCGCTGCTGAGCTGTATAGACTTGAACGTTTTGAATGAATCGATCTCGTTATCATTTAGGACCATATGTTGAGAACACCGAGCGGAGGAAGAAACGGCAGTCTGCTCGGAGGGTGTCTGGACCGGGAGGACGAACTCGGAGCTGTGGTGCCCAGAGGGATATTCACACTCAACGGTGACATCGCCAACAAATAGGACACGGAACAGAGGCTAATCTGGCCGAGGATAACCTTGTCAATCTCCTGGCGTCGAGAAGAAGATAAATTAGTTGGGTAGTAGCTCGGTTGCGAAGATAACACCTGACTACTGCGACGTTGGTCAATACTGTCAACCTCTCAAAATAGAAAGAAAAACACAACAAGCGTCCGGCCGCCGTCCAGGTAATGTTGGGATCACTTCACCCGCTCTGTGTTAATGAGGGAAACACACGCACATTTGCATGCTTAGTGTTGCTGACTAATTGGCCCATCACACTTGACAATAAAGTGTGTGTGTGTGTGTGTGTGTGTGTGTATGTGGCAACTGGATATTAAGCCTCCACAAACCAGCCCAGAGTCGTTGTAATCTCACTGAACACATTGCTGCCTCCACCACCATTTTACAGTAAATCGCTGTGGGGCTCCATTCTGGCTCCTTTAGCTGGAGACCAAGGACTATTTTGGGGGAGGAAATATGGGAAGCAAATATCCTCCACTGTGTATTTTGCTGCTGCCTGCTCCTTTTGGATGCCACAGCATCTTGCAGCAGCAGCAGAAGTATTCATAGATTACAAGTGCTTATAAAAAAGTATTCACTCTAAACAATCTCTGGTACAGCCAATTCTTTAAAGAAGTGGCTACAGGTAATTAAGTTGAGCTGAAGTCACATGTGTGTAATCAAGAAGTGATATTGAGCTTCAGTACACATGGATATGGAAGATCCAACAAATCCATTACAAGGTTGTTGGAAAAATACCAATTCCAAAGACTCCAAGACGGTTCCCCAGACTCAAATATGGACAACTGTAAAATAAAAGCTGTAAATCTGCTAAAGCCATCGTAGAAAATTGAGCGTGCAAGAAGAGTACTGGCAAAGAAAGCCACCAAGAAGCCTACAGCCAATCTGTAGCTTCTTGTGTGGACGAGATGGGCAACATTTGCAGCATATTCTGCAGCGTCACCAGGAGTTACCAACATACCAACATACCAACCTGTCATCATTGATAGGTTGGCATGTTGGAGGATTTCCAGTTGCAAAGACAACAAACAACGGTGTCATTTCTTACTTGTAGCATCTTCTTTGGAAATACAATCCACACACTGATCTGCTTCAGCCTATTCAAAAGGGCATGTGTAGTTATGCAGAGTCAAATTACAAAAAAAGCCCCCCCCCCATCTCTCAAAAGCACCTGGATATCTAAAAGGTAGCCTTAGGTGAGGGTCCAGGTGCAGGGCGAAACAAGAAAGCCTTTTAAGTCAATACTGTCTGAGTGGTTGTGGAGCCAATCACAGTCAGGCCTCTTTTTATTTATTTTTTTATGATGCTGGCTGAAGAGAGTCATGTATTCTGTAGAAGAGAATTGATAGTGTGTGTATAAAAAAAAAAGGACAGCAGCCTGGCTTCAGCCCCCGGTCACGGAAACCCCATGCTTTTCCACTTAACAAAGATAAGTGTTTATATTCTTGGAGAAAGCATCATTCAGTAGTTTCTGTGGCACGAATTTGCTCTTGTGGTGTTTTCCTTGTGATCAATCTGCAGGGGATGCAGTGGCAAATGAGCCTTTTTAGTTCTTTGACAGAGCCCAGCTGCTGTCTAAGGTTATATCTGTTCTTTCTCTCGTTCTTATCCTCTCAAAGACAATTCTTACTAATCTAATCTACCGATGAAATGTACTTGTTTCTATTTCTATCGTCCCTCTCTCTGTCACAGAGTTTTGAGGATGAACCACTTATCCCTCAGCGAGCTATGTTGCCTGTTCTGCTGTCCACCGTGCCCCAGCAAGATCGCCTCTAAGCTGGCCTTCCTGCCCCCAGAGCCCACATACAGCCTCATGTCTGATGACAGTGGCAGCCGGTGGACTCTGCACCTCTCTGAGCGCGCCGACTGGCAGTACTCGTCCCGCGAGAAGGACGCCATCGAGTGTTTCATGACACGCACCTCGAGAGGAAACCGCATTGCCTGCATGTTTGTCCGCTGCTCGCCCAGCGCCCGATACACACTATTATTCTCCCATGGAAACGCAGTGGACTTGGGTCAGATGAGCAGCTTCTACATTGGCCTGGGTTCGCGCATCAACTGCAACGTCTTCTCCTACGACTACTCGGGTTACGGAGCCAGTTCTGGGAAACCCTCGGAGAAGAACTTGTACGCCGATGTAGACGCTGCCTGGCAGGCGCTGCGGTCACGGTAAGGAGAGATGATGATGATGATGGATGAGGGGATAGGGGAGAACCTCTGCACAGATGTTGGCACAGCCTGTAGAGAAAGGACGCAGCGATTGATTAGCAGCGATAAATGCATCAGTATAGCACACAGACCCTAAATGGCAGTGCAGAAGAGTCTTGACAGATGTTAGGAGACGGGTGAGTTAAGCCCCATGAATGCTTTAAAACTTTGTGACATAAAGAGATGAAAAGTTGAGTTGAAGATGTGAGGAGTCTCCAGAAGGCGCTGGGTGGAGGGAGACCGGGCCTGATAAAACCATGGGTGGAGTTGATGAGGAATGGTTTAGTAGGGATGACATGATGTTCTTGTAGGCGATAATAAGGACCGTGTTTTCTATGATTATGCTGCCCAGCCATATGTAGGTGTGAGTGGGCGCTCTGCTGCATCTTTTTGCTCTGCGGGCTATGAATAGACTGATATTTATTGGCCGATATTCGACCTCTGTCGATTTGCAGTCCGTATCTGTGCTTTTCCAGCTGATGAAACGTGCTCCTTCTGCTTCAGGGCTTTTTGTTGATGAGGTCTGCATGAAACCATAGCTTTATAATGATGATGAAACTTTTTTTCCCCCCCCTTTTTCATAAAGCAGGTAAGAAATGATATGACAAACAGAGACTGTATGCAGACAACTATTGCTTATTTAAAGCAGCTACAAGAAGTTTTTATTTAAGTTTTCATCATCTTATTGTCGCGTTAATGTTTCGACGTCCTCGAGGGGAATCCGACCGAATTCAACCTGGTTGCAGGTGTTGGTAGCATTAAGAATAACTATATATAAATGATGATCTTGTACGTTTATGTAGGTCGTATAGAGGCATCGGTCTTAAATTGAGACAACCAGTTTAAAGACTCCTTGTAGAGCGTTTAAATATAAATAATTATCTACCTGAAACCCCACATGGTCTACCACTACTTAGACTCTTCTCTCAACTTCAGTCACTTCACACAGACGGCGCCGTTCTACCTGAGCCGCAGTGGTCATCAGTCTGTTTTTTTTAAACCCCGTGTCCCCCACTTCCTTCCATCTTTGTTTAACCCTGGCGTCATCTCCTCCTTTTGTCTTTATGCAACACTATAGACATTGTGGTCTGTGGCTCTGGGGCTGCTTTGGAGCGGGGCCACGTTTGTTGCCTCTGTATCGAGGTCCAACAAACATTAAATGCATACGCGTGTGTAGAGTTAAAGCAATAAGTTGAGTAATAGAATTGTCCAGTAACCGAAATTTAACTGGCAGCTGTTTTGATTATCGATTATTTGTTCGGGGTCAAGAAAAAATGGCCAACATTTGCTGGTTTCAACTTCCAAACAATGATAGCAAACTAAATGTCTTTGGGTTTTAGACCGTTGATCAGACAAAGTAAGCAATATAAATATTACAGCTTGGGGTTTGGGTAATTGCGATGTGCTTTTTTTTCACAAATAAGGCCTAAAGGAAATAGTTGATACATTAAACAATAAGGAAAATAACTTAATTGCCGCCCTGTACTGTACACATTCATACAATAGAGATGTGTTTTCTCTGCTTAAACAAGAACACAGTCACACACCTGTTTTCATAGAGACCAGGATGTGGAGGAGGAGTGTACAATGTTTGTGTGTGCGACTGAAAATAATGTGTCCATCATTTTTGCATTTTTGTTTATGTGGACGAGCGGGAAATAAAAGTTCACCCAGTAGGCCTTTTTGTTTTTGTATACTTCCTGCTGGAAGACAAACAAATGACTAAGAGAGGAGATGGGGAACATTGGCTCGGAAAAAAACTAAAAAAAAGGCTGGAAGAGAAGAGCCAAAGCAGTGTAAATCAACCGCAAAGAGAAAAACTAGGCTTCTAGTGTTGAGTGCTCCTCCTGTGTGCTGTGATGGTGATGTGGGTGTATGTTCTTTCTGAGGTAAATGAGGGTGTTGGCACTGCAGAGAAGTGCTGATGGAAACCACTGGTAAGTCCACTTGCAACAAAATGTTACTGTTTCTTAGCTGCTGACTTTTGCTGTGAATCTCTCTCAGCCCTTGTTTTACATTTTACACCATCTACCATTAAACAGAAGATACGGAGTGGCCTTCTGTAAATAAGGGCCTTTGAATAAGGAAGCTGGCAAGTTAAACAGGAAACTCTTGATCATAAAGGTTCTACATACAGGAAATAGGCCACTGCTGCGAAGAAGAACCTGCTTTTCTGGTGACCACACGCTGTGTATGCAATCAAACGCATTCAGTCTGCTTAATGTTGAAACCTTTCTCTCAGTTGCGTTTTCAATTTGCCCCACACAGTTTTACCAAAGCTTTCGAATGTGATCGAAAAGAAGAATAAGAAACCCGTTCTCTTTCTTGAAAGAGAAAGGAGTACTTACTGCTGCTGTGTTGTTTCGGCTCCTTATTATTTTCCAGCGTACTTTCTTATTTTTGGACACAGTAAGAAATCTCCTGCTCCCAAACCGGCGCAGAAATTAGCTTTGAAATTTCATTTAATCTCATCGAAGCAGAACACACTCTTCTTGACATGAATGCAAAAACTGTTGGCTGCTCTGTTTTTATGTAAGCTCAGTTATATAGTTTTAGATACTAAAAAAACATTTGCATGGTGTAACTTATAACTGCACACAGCGTGGCCCAGGCTCTGTTCACCGTCTGTAGAGATGCATGATGTTGAAGTTATTATTGTATATTGAAAGCTCTTAATCCACAGAGAAACGCGCCGTCCGGGTAGACTACAGTCCATTACATGTGGTTGGCCTGGTTGTGCGTCACTCAGAAAACAGCCAATCAGAAGGGAGGCTCATTCATATTGGCAAGACAAACACAACACAAAACGCCCTGTTCTTGCTAGAGATCCAGAGAGAAGCATGAGAGAGGAGAAGTGAAGATTTTAGTACTCAAAACTTCAAATAAAACACCAGGAAAGTGTAAAATATGAGACCTTTTTATGTATATTGTTACATATAACGAATTTTGATTAAGAGATGGACAGTGCGTCTTTCACAGTGATCTAAACTTGTCCAGCACTGAGATCATAGTTCAGATTCTCATTGGCTCTACTAATTTGAGTAAGCCAACAAAACTTTTCCACCTTGATCAGATGGGGTGGCAATAACTAGTCATACTGAAGGCTCTGGGCTTGTAACAGCTGTAACAAGGCAACTTTTCTGCATGTGATGTTAATTAGGGCTGTAACTAATGATTATTTTTATCAGTGATTCATCTGTTGTTAATTTTTCTTGATTAACTGATCAGTTGTTTGGTTCATAAAATGTCATAAAATAGGGAGAACATTTTGATCACTGTTTCCCAAGGTAACGCCCTCAAATGTCTTGTTTTGGTTAGTGACATAGAGGACTAACGAAAGCAAGAAAATATTCACATTTGAGAAGCTGAAATTAGAGAATTTGGCCTATTTTTGTTTAAAAATATGGCTCAAAACAATTTATCAATTATCAAAATAGTTGCATATTCATTTAATTGACAGCTAATAATCAGCTAATCTGTGCTATTATGTTAATCAGCAGTTTATTTAAAAAGGGTAGAGCAGATATAAGCTCTACATCAGTCTCAGACACTGTATCATGACTTTATAGTTTAATCAGGGAAAAACCTCTGAAAGATCAGATGAGACGGGCAAAATTTGTTATTCTAACTTGTCATGACATTTCTATTGGATCCCCATTCTACTGATGCCGCAGTGAGAGCTTAAAACAAAGCATGTCTGTCTGAATAAAGCCATATGGAGAGCTCCTCATTTGTATGTGCTGGAAAAATACAGACGGCACTTTAAATGCAAAGATAAGAGTAGGGCGTGATGTTCGAATACACCTTTTAAACCAATCCATACGCTTTATTAACACTAACAAACAGACACATTGGGCACTCTGGGGCTGGGCACGAAGACATCCTGCACAGGACGCTACTCTTCTCCATTTAAAAACCAAAAAAGATCGACAATTCAAAACAGTTCGTTGGTTATTTATAAGTCTATTTTGCATATTTTTTTGGCTTAACCAAATGACAAGCGTCGAGTACACTTTGTGGTTGGGTTACGTCATTCACTGGCAACAATCTCCTCTTCCTTTATTGCCATGTCAGTGTCACTCTTTCTGTCTGTGAGACCTCTGCTGCTCTCCAGTTACAGTATATATTATGTTAATGGTCCGGCTGTCAGGATTGTCAACACTCGCTACTTATGCTGCCACGCATCAAACTTTCTTGGTTGGTGATACTGCGCTATAGCCTCCAAACCCCTGGCTTTTTATCAGCGCAACAGGCACTCAACAGGATTCTTCACAACTATGTAGGCCTAGTTGCTAGCTAATCACCAGAATTCAAATGTGGAACTTCAATTCTCATTCCTGGGCACAACTTAAAAGGGATTTATTAACAGAAAATATGATGGAAGTCTTGCGCACATTTTTTTGTCTGGCATATCTTTCTGCTTTTGTACGTGCCTAACCTTTTATTGTAGAATATTAAAAGCTTAGTGTCAGCGAGGCCCCTAGTTTGATATTATCTGCCTTTTTGACTCAGCTGTGTGTGTCTGATGGTTTGAGGGTTGTGCCAGATTCATAATTGACTGTCTATGCGATAGAAAGAGGGTACAGCCGAGCCTTTTGACCCTGCTGAACACGAATCAACTAGATTGTGTTTATCACATCAAAAGGCCTCTCTGCATGGCCTCACATCAGTCGGCTGCATACATCCCTCGTGCATGTCTCTCTTGTTAGATCAGACTGAAGAAGCGAGCGAATCTTTCACTTTCTGTGCTTCTTGTAACTGTCAGTGTCGTTTTTTTTTTTTTTTCTTCTTTTTTTTCTGATTATTTGACATTTTGAACGCACCAGATCCCATACTTTTCTGCAACTGTTTTCTGTGTCATCCAATCTTTTTTTTTTTTGCTTATGATTCAGCAGTCAGCAAATTCAGCTTCTCGCCAGTGTTGACACGCTTGTGTAGGCTGCGTTCACTTCGCTCCACAGTCATAGGACCGAGGGTAGCCACCTGTCACACTGCGAACAGTCTAACCACCAAATCCGTGTTCTTTTGTTCAGCCACGGTGGACATGAGGCACTCCCTTTTACCTGAGCAGGAAGTGGGCCAGATGACTCAGTAATTGCTTGAGTCAGGAGGTTTACACACTTGCACTCCCTCCATTATCATACTAAGAATGACTACTTATAGAAGAATGTATCAGGTGTACTATTTGTTGCTCCGCATGAGGGAGAAAAAAAAAGTGTGGGGTTTGAGTAAAGAGTGACAGATCAGCCCACTTTCTCTCTGTGTGTTTGTGTGTGCGTGCGTTTTCCACGACAGAATGGCACTGTATCATTTTCTTTTCCCTCTGAGATGGAGGCGGGCCAGCAGTCAATCCCGCCAGTCTAATATTGAGTGGTAGCCTAGCAACCGATTTCCAATGAGCTTTCAGGCCGAGGTCTTCCCACAGCATGGCAATTGAAAACAAACGGGGAAAAACCTCACTTCCCTGGTCAATGAACTTTATTGATCCAAATCAAAACACCGTCCGTCTTTTTAAGCGTTCGATAGTGTGGAGAACTTCTCGCAAACATTGACACAGAGGGGCCAGCCCAACATGTCTATGAATTGTTTTCTTTACTTGAAATATCTGTTGTGGTTAGGCTTTAAAGAGGCTGATGTGTGCGTTACGTCAGTTGGGTGAAGTACTCAAGTGCTCATGTGACTCTCCTTATTGCCAACAGGAACAGCTCTTACGCAAGTAAGTTATGATACTGATTATATACTTATTATCCTTGCATCTTCATGTTTAATTCACTTTTTATTTATTTTTAATATGTAGGCATTGATCCACAAACGGAGATCTCAACATCTGTTTATTTTCAAGACAAGTATACAATGGAAGTAAATGAGTAAAAAGATGCTAAGCGTAATAACAGATCATAGGAGCGCTTCACTAAAGACTCCCCCTGCTGTAGTGCAGATGGTACGCTAATCTGTTAAAAATGCCTGTACATATGTTCAGGATATCCTAAAATATCTATTAGTCATAGTGACTGCTACGGGTTGAGAATATTTTTGGTCTTGAGGGGAAAAGAGGTGGGCAGCCAAGAGGGAGCGAGAGACAGAACAGGGGAACGAGGGAGGATGTGATGCATAATAGATTGGATTTGTGTCAGGAGACTAAATTGATGAAGGTCTGGGGGAGGGGTGTAACCATGGAGCATGGGCTGGCTATGGCTTGGGGAGGTCTATTCAAGCTGAAATGCAATGGAGTAAATTGTAGGCTAGCGTTGGCCTGGATCCGGGCTGGTCAAAGGCTGGATCGTGGTGGCGTTTTAACACGAGCACAGCTGCAGATCTGCGCGACCTTTCCTGAATGTGTGAGCGAAAGCCACAGCAGTCCATCAAACGGTGCCAAGATAGTAGGGTGGGTTAGTGGTTGGAGTGACCTTGTTGTACGTGGAAGGTCACAGGTTCAAGCCTTGCATTATTCATTGTTTATTTGTGTGTCCTTGTGAGTGCAAAACACTCGTGCTTACACGATGTTGGTGTAAAGCTGTAAGCCAAGCATGCCAAGTTAGGTCTGGGGAAAGCCTTGCTGCATTTATGGTCCTACATCCTCTCACCTGATGACTAAGCTGTCAGATGGTTTCAATTTACCCTCTGTGTATTGACATCGCATAAGCTTTATATTGTACTGACATCCATGTGGTGAGTTCTTATGAGTATGGGGATTGGCCAGGCTTCAGTGGCCTGATATGGCAAAAGAACATTGACTAGATCAGCATAACGAAAAGGAGATAAGTCAAAGATAACGACAGATAAACATGTACTTAAGGGATACTACGCTGATAAAAACATTCATAACAGTAAACAAATAACAGACTGTTGTGACAATAAGACAGGCCTACAGGCACTGCTGTTTAATGTTCCGCAGTACGCTGGAGTTATGAGGTCTAATTAAACCCAATCATCATTTCTTGTGATCAGATGCTGCCTGTGAACAGTTATGAGTGAGAGAAGTAAGCAACCAACCAACCAAACCCCCCCAATCAAACAATCTCATTACATGTCTCCTGGGAGGAGTTAATATTGAACATCTATTCCAAAATCAACAGAGTGGCGGTGATCTCTCCGATTGCTCAACATGTTCTGTTACTTGTCTGTCCTTCTTTCAAGATCTACTTCACTTCTCTCGACAACGAAGAGTGGGTTGAATTATTAGTCCTCATTAACCAAAGACCGTACACAATAAACATTAACCTGAAAATGAGAAGACAGGATTTACGCCAGATTTAGCTATTAGATCATTTCCATCTGTATGATTTTTACTTAAGTCCCTTGCCCTCGAGCTCTATTATAGATGTATATGTGTATATATGTCTTGTTGACTGTTACCTGAGCTTGAGCCTTGCAACAAAAACTAATTTTACTAAATCTTGCTATACAAAAATACCCTTCTCTCTGTTATTATTTAATTAAATTAACACTGAACCAGGCAAAAGCAGGACTCTACCTTCCATGCTCATCATCGGGAGTGTAGGTCATGGTTGGGCCTCCCGCAAACATTTAGTACTTTTTGTTTTCAGTAATGACACTTTTTATCTTAAATGTCAAAACGCCCAAGGCTCTGAGAAATGGCCTGTCCACAAATCGGACTGGACCAAAGTGGATTCTCATTAGCAGTAATTTATGCTTTATTTTGATGACCGATCATTAGGATTGAACTGAGTGTGAAGATGGCCTTTACTTGAAAATGGTAAAACAAAGCTGTTTGTGACAGATTTTTTTTTTTAGAAGCCGCTAGTCTCTAATCGGACACTTAGAAAGGTCAGTGTCATTTTTTATACAGTTTGTACAAAGACTTGAGATTTTGGCCTCCTCCTCACTATCTCCCTTAAACCGCCACATTATGTTGTATAATGGAAATAAGCTTTCAGTTCATGAATCGTGTGTATCATGGTCAGCCAACCTTGAGAGTTAATGGTGCTGTTAACACCACAGCACCCACCAGCCTGCGCTAAGCCTTGCCAGTATTTTCACCCCTATTTATACTTGATGAAGGCCAGCTAACACACTGACGATAAACAGTTCCTATATTCCTGCTAATGACTGTCTGCAAACTAGACTGTGT